TGTATACTGTAATTTTCTTGTTTTACTAAGTACAACCGGTTGCAGTCAAAACATAAACAAACAAAATGTAAACATAGCAGACGAAACTCTTACAGATTACAGCTTTCTCAGTAGGTATCACTATACTAAATCGAAGAATTATTTGAAAAGACGATATCGAATTCGTCACTGAATTCCCATGTTTATTTGGACACCCTGTACTATAGTAATCATCTGTACTCTCAGTTTTTCATAATTATTAACAAAATTGTTTTGGATATTCTCCTCTTCCTTCAATAAACATAGTTAAACTAGTGTTTTACAACAAAAATAATGGAGTTTATTAAATAATGTTTAACCCAAAACTTTGGAGACATGGAAACAATAAAAATGTCGTATTCCTAACCTCCTGTACAGGAATACTGTAGATATTTAGTTTTTTGAATTAAATAATTAAATGTAGCTCTGTAAAACTTTTCCTGCATATTTCATGGCTTTTTTATAAAAGTATTATAAAAGTATACACTGAGATTTAGGTAAAGAAGTATAAAATACATTAAAAAACTGTCAAGACGACATTTTATAAGTTCTTTCGATGCCTCCGAAGTTCAGTAATTAAAACTGAGGCCGTTCAACATTACAGTGGTCGACCACATGATTAATGATGGTCGTATGAATTATCTATTTATCAGATAAGAATTTGGCGTGAGCGCGTCTGGCGGCCAAACTATCGTCCTCCAAAGTACGACCACTGTGCATACATTATTAGGGAGAGAACTAAAAGGAATGTTAATGAGCTGACCGCAGATCAAGTTTTTACAACACTAGCCTTAGAGGGCGCTTCGCGCCCATCTTCTAAATTAATTGTGAACATGTTCTCTTTGTGTACATCGTAAAACAAAACAAAAATAATTCGCGGATTTTCACAAAAAATTTTGTGGATTTTCAATATTTTCAAAAATTTAATGAAGATCGAATTTGATGGAGACAAATATTTGAAATTTCAATCATTCATAAACCTTCGGTCCCTAGATGTCCCACAAAAAATTTGGGCCCGATCGTTTCAGCCGTTTAGACGTTTATTGGATACAAACAGACAGACAGACAGACAGACAAACAGACAGACAAGCCAAATTTATATATAGATTCTTACTTAACAAAAATGCGCAAATTTTTAATAGTATAATTATTAACAAAATATTTTTGCAAAATCCAATATACTCAAGTTATAATTTGAATTGGGTAACTGGAGAGAGAACCATGGAAATGTTCTTTATAGCTTGGTTTGAACATTCTAAATTGAGCGGGTTCACTTTTCTAGGGGAAAATAGCTAATTCGTAATTTACGACCAAGCGCGGGTAAACGGAGGGAGTGTGTGCCCTGTGAAACGTTTCAAAACTATTCAACAACTGTCATGTTACGTGGGACACCCTGTATTTATTACTGGAAGATTTCATATAGTTTAAGACAATATAATTATATTACAAAAAAAAATAATAAATCCTCATTCGAGGGAAAAGAATCTGATTGGCTTATTTTCAAACATTACATCTCTACATACAGGGTGTCCCACGAAACATGACAGTTGGTAAATAGTTTAAATTTTCTTCTTCCATAATTTGTTAAGTAGTTTAATACCAAAGACAATAATAATAATATTATATAGGAGTCATTTTAGAGTAAAATTCTTTTCCAAGTAAAATATAAAAACCCTTTGATATCTAATATATACAGTGTATGGAAGACGAGATTAAAAACTATTTACCAACTGTTATGTTTCGTGGGACACCCTGTACCTGTCTGAACAGAATGAAACCCTCCTTGTAAAACCTATTACGATTATTTTCTTAAATGCAAAAAAACAATTTGTGGGATGTTTTATAATGTCGTCGTTTATGCTCAGATATTCCGGATAAATGGGTTGATTTAAAGAAATTTAGGAACTATTTCACTTTAAACTGTGCTAATTTTTCTTATTCATTATAAAAGCTTGAATATACGTCATCGATAAACAAGGATTTTTGTATCATAAATGACGACGACATTACTACGAATTGTACAGTGTTCGAGCCGATAGGATAATTGGTTCGTCAGACAGAGTTAATATCTCATATTGAATCTATGTTGTTTACTCGGCTTCTTCTCTTTCTTCCAACAAAGTTCCTGGATGTTCTTCATCAGGTTTAGAGATTTTAGCATTTTAACCTCGCCCATAAATCATAATATCTTTTGCCATAATTGTTTTATCAAAGTAGGTAATTTAATAAGTTACCAGCTGTTGGAAGCCCTGAAACTTGGTCAAAAAGTCTTAAAAAATATAAATCTGACTGGATTTAAAATAAGAGAAAGTTTTGGAATTCTATACATAAGCCTAAATATACTGAGCTTGAAGTTTTTGAATTAGCGAAATGAAAAAACAGTTCTTTATTAGAGAACACAGCAAAGTAAGAGAATCCTAAGCGCGGTTCTACCCATCTAGAAGAGAACAAAGATCTTAATTATGTTTAATCAAAAGTTCCGAGCTTTAAAAGGACTGTTGCAAATTTTGAAACTCTAAAACATCTCACTTTTTTTTGTATCAATTAATCTAAAAAAAATATGTGTCGAGAAAAAGAACTAACAAAGTTTTCAGGGAACTCACTAAACCAGCCAGGATATGACAATAGAAACTAACATAACTAACAAAGTTTTCAGGAAACTAACTAAACCAGCCAGGATATGACGATAGAAACTAACAAAACTAACAAAGTTTTCAGGGAACTAACTAAACCAAAGTAGATAGAAGACTAAATGTCACAAATAAATTCAAATACCAAAGACGACTTTCAAGTCGTCTTCCTATTGTCATGTTTCGTGGGAAACCCTGTATGATATAATGAATAATGACTATAAATATGTTCTTTAATATCTGTATTTTTTATCCATATGGAAGTGTAAGTACTTTCATGGTATAAACTCGTATTGATAATCGTTTGATCAACACTTTATTCCCCGAATCTATTTAGTTCGGATTAGCTTTATCGCTAAACCTAATTTACTGGGTGAAAATCTACAGTTTTCAGCTTATAGCTTTTAATCCATAGAATATAGATGTCATTTATGCAGGGATATGGGGCTAAGCCCATATAATGCCCCCCTCCCGTGGATATATAATAGAATGGATATATCATAGTTAAGGTTTGATGTAATTTTCTGTGTGGGGTGTCATGCAGTACGTTGTCTTTGATTTTCGTTAAGTTAGTTGTTGCCAAAAAAATATATTTAAAAAAATTGTAAGTCTTTAGAATTTACCCTCCTTCTTTGTATCATAAAGAAGTCGGAGATATTCAAGAATTAAACAACCTTGATTATACTTTTAAGTTTAGACTAATTTCTCAATATCTCAATCAATTCTTAAGGTACAAAAACGGCAGACCACATTTTGGAACACAATGCGCATTTGATGCAACCCAACTTTTGAGAGGCAATGTTATGTTTACAAGATTTTAGCAACAGTATCTCATTTCTGCTTAATAGGGCCCACGATCGACAGTAAGAATGATGAAAGGTCGTCTTTATCACACCAGAATAATTGTGACGACTGTAAGCGATTTTAAAAGCTTCAAATATTAATGAAATTGAAAACCGACAAATATTAGAAGTAGGAAAATTAATTGAATATTTGCTTTAGAGAATTTTTGTAAAAAAAGGATATTCTTAGATTCAGTGTTACATTAAGTGCAAATTTAAAACCTTTTACAAAATAATAAATGTTAATAAACAAAGTAGACTAGATCGGATCCAAAATCTGTGTTAATTTGATTTAAGAAAGCATGATATTATCACTCAATTCACAATATCTTTAATGATTTAAAGATATAAAATTTAAATTGGGGTTTTATACAAAAATTATGACTGGGAACAATAAAAAATAATGATTAATGATTTTTCATTTCAATAATTCAAATTCATTTTATAGATTTATTCTCATAAAAATGCATTTAGAAATGTTCATTTAATTGATTTAAAACATTTAGAATGCACAAACAAGTCGTTAAGGTAAATTTATATATTTTTTTTTGGGGGGGGGGGGTTTTCCTCCGTCTTCACATTACTTGATGTCTCAATTATCCAATTATCTTGAAACCCCCCCNCAAGGAACTAAAGGTTTAATAAGTATACAAGGAACCAAAGGTTTAGGAAGTGCAATACAAGGAACTAACGGTTTGGGAAGTATAAAACGAACTAAAGGACTAGGAAGTACACAAGAAACTAAAGGTTTAGGAAGTATACAAGTATACAAGAAAATAAAGGTTTAGAAAGTATACAAGGAACTAAAAGTCCAGGAAGTATACAAGGAACTATAGGTTTAGGAAGTAAACAAGAAACTAAAGGTTTAGGAAGTATATAAGGAACTAAAGGTTTATGAAGTATACAAGGAACTAAAGGTTTAAGAAGTATACAAGGAACCAAAGATTTAGGAAGTGTACAAGGAACTAATGGTTTAGGAAGTGTACAAGGAACTAATGGTTTAGGAAGTGTACAAGGAACTAAAGGTATACGAAGTATACAGGGACTAAAAGTTTTGGAAGAATACAAGAAGCAAAAGATATGAGAAGTATACACGGAACTAAAGGTTTAGAAGTTAGTACAAGGAAATTAAGGTTTAGGAAGTGCGGTACAAGGAACTATAAAAGGATTAGGAAGTGTACAAGGAACTAAAGGTTTAAGAAGTATACGAGGAACTAAAGGTTTAAGAAGTATACAAGGAACTGCAAATGATTGCAAGTATAAATGACATTAAATGAAGGTTAAACAAAGCAACTAAGCACAATGCACGACGCACGAATAATTGTCATAACTTTGGCTTGAGAAATAATAAGAAGCGGAGAGGGAAGGAGACGATTACGAGAATAATTCTCGGGGAAAATATTTAAAAAACTAGATTATAGAAGTGTGTGAGAAGAAGGTAAGATCTAGTATTACGAATGAGATGCTAAAGCTGTGGTAGATCTGATCCAGACCTGGAGGAGAAATCTGAAGGAAACCGTCCCAGGTGGTTGAATTGAGCCTCCAGCCAGCTTCATATACAGGTATTTACCAATTTCAAACTTATTAGGTTCAGGATATATACAAAACTGGGATTATAAATCTATCTCTAAACAAATATGAAAGGATGTGACTTCAGAGATGATTTTACGATATTTTCACCTTTATTTTTTATATTCATAGATTACTACAGCAGTTGAAAATGCTATTTATCTTAATATTCAATTTACCATATACAAATTTATTGAACCTACAGATCTTCTTTTTTAAAGATTATCAGGTCGGCATTAAAGTCTCATCCTTTGTGATAACCCTGTATTTATATTAAGCTATATGTTTGAGTGATTAACATGTTAATGTTAAAACACAAATAGGGAGCACTAGATCGTATCTAAAATTCCAAGAAGAGAAAATGAGGATAAATCAGTCAAAGAATCCGAGAAATGTTGAGAACTCCGGATGAGAAGTTAGATCCAGGAACTAGATGCTACGAGTTTATGCTAAATTGTTGTGCAAGTTCCAGGGATCATGAATTGGTTGAAGGCGAAAGTGAGTTCACATGAATTTTTACTAGAAGGGAGCCAGGATACGGGAGAGTAGACCCCAGGATACGGGATAGTAGACCCCAGGATACAGGAGAGTAGACCCCAGGATACAGGAGAGTAAACGACAGGATACAGGAGAGTAGACCCCAGGATACAAGAGAGTTGAACCAGGACACAGGAAAGTTAAACCAGGATAACAGGAGAGTTGAACCAGGATAAAAGTAAGGTAGAATTAGGATACAGGAAAGTAGAACCAAGATTTAATTATACAGGAGAATAAAACCAGGATACGGGAAAGAAACGTTCAGAAGAATTGGAGAAACCATAGCTAGCTAGCGTCTAAAAAATCAAATAGTAAAGCACATTTATTTAGAAAAATCAATATTTAATATTTCCACGAATCTAGATAGGAAAGAATGCCCTCTAGGCCAGTAACATAAAGATTACATCAATGACACTAAAGCATGATCCAGCAAATATAAGATATATATGATGTGTATGGCATGTAATTCTTGATTATTCAATAAAATTACAGTATCTCAATAAATGTTGTTCAATTTGTAAAATCATCACGAAACAATAAAATCGTAAATTCATCAGCAAGTACACACTGTTTTGGTTTGCAGTACAGACAATAGGAAATTAGTTTGCAGTAGGAGTACATAATGGTTTAATATGTCTGGCACAAAACAATTCATCAATATTATTAATTATCAAAATACAGAGTCCAGCTTTATTCTGATCCACATTGGTTTACATTAATATAACGAAGTTTGGGGGGGTAGGATACAGGAGAGGAAATAGCGCACTAGAAGAATAGGAGATAGGATGGGAAAATATAATTATGTTATTACGTAGCAATTAAAAGGAGTGAGAAGTAAAATGATCACGACCAACCTTCCAGAGTTCATCAAAAATTTTTAGAAACTGTTTTAGGGTTAAGAGGGATGTTTTTGGGGTTATTTTACTAAGATTATTGAATCAAAATAGTAAGAGGCTGTTTTTATAATTCAAAATATTCTAACAGAGGATCGCTTCAGATTACGTTAAACATTCCTTTTAATATCATGTTAAATAATTCAAAACTTTTCACGAAACGATAATATGAAAACATTTGTTGGTTAGTGTTCCATCTGGTGTTAATAATTCATAATGGTTTTTGTGAAAAATGATGAAATATAGTTCACAATAAACCACGAATTTGTAAAATCGATTCATATATATCACCAAGGCCTGATCATTAGTGTTCTCTAGGTATGCATCTAAATAGGAAATATCGGATAATTGTAAACCTGAAGTACAAGATCTTGGGAGAAAAAGAAAAAAAGGATGGTTTCAGGATCAAATACTTGAAAGGAGACTTTAAAAAAACTAAAAGAGAATATCAGATGATTCGGAGCTTCCCCAACTGACTCCGGTATCGGAGGGACGTAAATATGTATCGGAGGAGGGAGAAGACTGAGAAGTATCCAAAGTTGGTGAGGGTAGATGAGAAGGAATACTCCTGGATACTCCGAGCTGGAACGGAGTTTCTGTCATCTGGATCTTACTAGGGGTGTAACTACCTAAACCTCCTGAACAAAATAGGTTTTTATATATTTTACACAAAGAGTCTTAATAAACATGGGAACTTAAAGAAGGTATTGACTAGACTATCAACGTCATTTAAGATTAAGCTGCTTCTGCTTTTTCGAACAGACATAAAAAACGTACAACCGTCTGTAAATTCCCGTGTTTATTCGCTTATTATAATATCTATAATTAATATGTGAGCAAACTAGGTGCACGCTAGAACAGTAAAGTTAGGCAATATATGCATACTGTTAGAACTAAATTAATACAACTATATTCAGAAACCAGGATTCCCAGCGTATATCACAAACTGTTCATAGCGAACACCAAGTATTCCTAAACTAGCTTTACACACAAAATGTTTTTAATCATTAATTAAATACTGCGCACTAATTGCACAACTACTAATTAAGAAATGAATAAATATATGAGATCGTTAAGTATGCTACTGTGTATACTGTGTTTGATTATGATATTCATTCATAATATCTGCACTGTGTTGGATGCAGATAATGCATTGTTTAATTATTCTAAATAACCTAATAATTATATACAGTATACCAATAGAGATACTGAAATCCGGATATTTAGAGCAGGTTAAATAATATGTCGTTTCATTAAATCCCTGAGTTGGGAGTGAGGACGGGAGCACAATTCAGTGTAATGTATATGGAAACAGTTGAAAACCGAGTATTCTTGTATTACACAATTTTTTAGGAAATATTTATCGCAAACGCAAGAGAGATGTCAATGCAATAAAAGAGGAAAATGATTATCATTTCTTTTTATCCTGAACACAAAATAACTAAATTAAATTTCGGTTTAGAAAAAAATTATCTCCTAAGATCTAACTAGTATTCTTACACAGATTAGATTGTTGTTTATCTTTTTTATATTTTCAGGTGAACTTCTAGCTCTAGCTAGGAGTTAGCCATCATAGCTCTAGCTCCAGCTCTTGTTATCTCCAGCTCCAACTAGGAGTTACCCATCATATCTCTAGCTCCAGCTCATATTCTCTTGATATCTCCAGCTCTAGCTAGAAGTTTCCCATTATATCTCTAGCTCCAGCTTATGTTCTCTTGATATATCCAGCTCTAGCTTATACAATGTACAGCTTGGACCTACTACTGTAATCTTAATAACCAGTTCTAACTCTGCAATGACTATACAAAGGAAAATGATTTATAGAAGGGTCTGGGAACACCAAAATGAAGAAAGAATGATTTGTACTCAGCTCTAGTACTCGGTAATCTGAAGGGTGGACAATTCAACTCATCCTGGTTATATCGGAGCACACTGGTATCTTTATATTTCAAGGTTCGGAGTAATTCCTCTGCCTTGGTGTGTATCAGGATCTGGGTTAGGTTCTCTTCGGGATTATGAATATACGAATGTTTGGATACAGATCTATCATGAGTTTTGTCCCGACTAAGAACTTCATGATTTATGTTCTGTTTTGAATGCAGCTTACTCCCCCTTGGTTTCGGTAAGGGTGTCTGAGATATAGGAGCGGGTTTATCTTCAGGTTTCATACTAGATAACACTTGCATCTCTGACTTTGAAGGTCTAGAGATATTATACTTGAAATAATCTTGTTGGTTTACTTTTTTATGTTCAACTGAAGTGGTCTCTCCCCATTTATCAATGTTGTCCAAAGGTAACCCCTGTAAATCATCTGTAAATACATCTCCAGATATAGTAGAAGATCTCTCAGTATATCTTAACCCAGAACTGGGTTGGGACAAGAATCTATGCTTGTCTCTGGATACTGTTGCTACTTTACATGGTACTGGAGTAGATCTATAACTATACAAATCTAAAGGTTTAGTATGGGATAAATCTATAACAGGGATATATCTGATCAAATCCTCCAAAGATTCAAGGCCGGCTGTAAACACAGGTTTAGTTAGTAAAAATATATAATTAATTGGTTTCATGGATCAATAATTCTCACAGTTTCGTCGAACAGGAACAGAACTATATATTACATATGGGTTAGCAAGTATAAAAACCATATTAAAAGGTTAGAGCTTGTAATAATTAGTTAGTATAAATATATATATATATATATATATAATCGTATTTAAATATATTTGAAGTGTTTACCTGAAGTTCCAACCGGAGTATTAGATTTTAATGTTTTTAAAGGAAGCTCCAGGTCCTCCTCTTTACTGGACTCGAAGGACGGATACTCAAATACTTCCGTCTCATCTTTCCAGGTTATTGTCAGCTGAAACAAAACATTATTTAGATTACTCGCAATCTTAAAGTAAGATCACCCAACTGATTAGATGATAAAATTGAAAATAAATGCCCCAAATGTGAAACCACTCCCTCACGATACAAACCACCTTTTTAATTGCCATGCAAATCAAACCAGCCTTCCCACTACCAGCCTATGGACCCACCCTATAGAAGCCTCTAATTTCCTTGGACTGGAAGAACTCGAAGATCCTGACCCAGGATGAAGCTACAACAACAACAACGTACACAATCATTTATGTAATTAAGGACATATATTGATGTTATGTACGTTGCACACTGTATAGTGTATACAATGAGTCAAGTTGACCTAGCTTATCAGGATTTACTTTCCCAGGTTCACATTAATATAAGAAATATCCTTATCTCACAAACTAAAGGGAATACAGACCCCCCCCCTCCCCCTCCTTCATAGAGAATTCTTCATATCCATCTCCTCGGAAGGTACCATATCATTGACGATCCTATTCTCCTGGGATCGATCACGTGATAGAAAGAAATAATAATTTGAAATAAAGTTTGTTTAGTTTAGTTCTTCGTAGATAATTGAATACGCAGGTTGAAGATTTAAAAGAATTCTGAGCCAGAAACTTTTGTGCGGAGTATCCTTAATCTTTAACAATTAATATTTAATGTGGGCATTTTTAAATTTGAATATTAATGCTGGATTCTTTATTTTAGTTATCCCTGGAGGGTTTGACCAACACGAGATTTAGAAGAGGAATTGAATTTGCATAAGACAGAGATCATTGCTTGTGATCCTGCGATTCCAAACTTATGGTTAGCTCAATGTATTCTGACGAGTGAGGATTGCACAGGACCAGGCAAAAATTAATATTAAAATTAAGAGAACATCATGAATAATTTGGAGAATATAAAAAGTTGGATAAATAAAGTATACGCGAAATGAAATGNAAAAATCTTGCCCCCCCCCCCTTACTTAAATCCTGTATCCGCCCCTGTTTTTGTGAAGTGTAAAAGTATGAATAAACTGATCAATCTGGTTTAATGGAGTAAAATAATCAAGATTTAGAAAGAAGCAAAATGATAGGTTCTTAAAATACAAAACAAGGAAAATAAATCTAAATAAATAAAAAATACAGAAAATTTAGATCAATAAATATTAAATTTATGATAGATCAATAAATATAAAATACAAAATAGATAGATCAATAAATATAAAATACAGGATCGGTAGATCAATGAAGATAAAATACAGGATCAGTAGATCAATGAATATAAAATACATGATAGGTAGATCAATAAATATAAAATACATGATAGGTAGATCAATAAATATAAAATACAGGATCGGTATATCAATAAATATAAACTACAGGATCGGTAGATCAATGAATATAAAATACACGGTAGGTAGATCAAAAACATAAAATAAATATTAAATACAGGATAGGTAGATCAACAAATATAAAATACAGGATAGGTATAGATCAATTAATATATAATACAGGATATGGTAGACCAATAAATATAAAATACAGGATAGGTAGATCAATGAATATAAAATACAGGATAGGTAGATCAATAAATATAAAATACAGGATATGGTAGATAAATAAATATGAAATAAAGGATATGGTAGATCAATAAATATAAAATACAGGATAGGTAAAGCAATAAATAAAAAATACAGGATAGATAAAGCAATAAATATAAAAATACAGGATGATCAATAAATATAAAATACAGGATTGGTAGACAAATAAATATAAAATACAGGATATGGATGAAGGAATCGATGATAAAATTTAAATGTTTTTATAAACTTTTCGAATCATTTTTGATGTCTACACCACTTGTTGGAATCTATTCCAAAATAAGGAAAAATAAAAAATAAATTGTTAGACAAAGGGTGTACTGTAAATTATTGACTAATACAATTTGTATGTATTTTTATATATAATATAATTATATATTGGCCAGATGTTAAGAAACTACCACCACACTTTCTTCACACAGGATTTGCTGTAATACAACTCCATAGTAACATGAAAACCTTCAGAAATTAAATATTTTACTTAAATCTTGGTTCAAACCAAAACTCTCAGACATGACGTTTATGTTTAAAACTAAAAAGATTTAGAACGAAAATAACCTTCCACTTTTTTCCTGAAAGAATCCGTGAAAAGAAGGAAATGAACAGGATCAAGATGATGCGGCCGGTTTCAATGATTTCGTGTCTCGTTGGTTAGGTGACTAAAACTATGTTGCGTTTGACTTGTTTATAAAAAAAATTTTAAACCAAGATAATCAATAATAGCCGAATAAAGTTTCCATTTAGATTTAAAATTCATAATTTTAGAAGACTTTTTATTTTAATATATGTTGCATTTAATTAAAAGAAGGATAATAAATGTGAGGTTTCCAGTGAGAGTATTTGTCTTATCCGTTTTACAACAGAGTATTTGCCTGTAACCGGTTTTTACCGGAGTATTTCCTTTAACCGGTTAATACCAGAGCATTTGGTTTAACCAGTTTTTATCGAAGTATTTGCTTTATAACTGGTTTATACCAGAGTATTTGCATTAAACAGCGGAGTAATTTTCCATTAATCGATTTTTACCCGATTATTTTCTTTAAACCGGTTTATACCGGAGTATTTGCTTGAACTGATTTATACTAAAGTATTTGCTTTTTCTAGTTTATACCGGATTATTTGCCTTATCCTGCTTATACCGGAGTATTTATTTTTTCAAGTTTTTACTGGAGTATTTTCTTTAAACAGGTTTTTACTGGAGAATTATCTTTAAACAGGTTTTTACCAGAGTATTTGCTTGAACCGGTGTCACGATTAAGTTATAATAAGTTATAATAAGTTATAACCCGGACCAAATATAACGCCCGGGCCTTATTTAACGTTACACCGGTTTATACAAAAGTATTTGCTTTTTCTAGTTTACACCGGAATTTTTGCCTTATCCTGCTTATACCGGAGTATTTTCTTTAACACGGGTTATACTGGAGTATTTTCTTTATCCGGGTTCTACTAGAGTATTTGCCTTATACGGTTTAAAAACTTTAAACCGGAGTATTTGCATTATCCGGTTTATACCACAGTATTTGCTTTATCCGGTTTATACCAGAGTATTTGCCTTTTCCGGTTTAAACCGGAGTATTTGCTTTATCCGGTTTATACCAGAGTATTTGCCTTGTCCGGTTTAAACCGGAGTATTTGCATTATCCGGTTTAAACCGGAGTATTTGCATTATCCGGTTTATACCGGAGTATTTGCTTTATCCGGTTTTATGTCGAAATAAAAAAAATGATATAATTCTAAAAAACTAGAGTTATGACTCCCTAACTGGAAAATACGAAAATGACAAAGTTTTATTAAAAATCAATTTATTAACCGTGAATTAGCAATTGACCACCTAAGTTAAAGTCATCAAAAATAGATAAGCTACTAGCTACCCTTAACAACTAACTTCATGTCATCCAAACTATAGATAAGCTAGCCCTAATCAACCAACTTAATTTATCCTAAGCTGAAGATCAATTTGTTATGATTTACTAACCTTTTTAGATGAATTCTTCGTTCTGATAGAAGATTTGCCAGTTGTGATGAATGCTCCGATGAAAGTGTATGAACTGATGAGCTCTGAATCCTCTTCACTAACGATCCCGTCGCAGGACTCTCCGTTAGAATCAAGATAAACAACACCCTAGAGATACAATATATTGGTCAAGTCATCATATTTAACTATTCAATAAGATGATAAACAAACAAACACTGATATTGAGTTTAAAGGATAGGAGAATTATAATTATAAGTATTTCATTTCATGAAATTATAATGATACAAAAATAGCAATTGCAACCCAAACAATGAAATCCATAGATCAAATAGATCAATTTGTAGTCACTAAAATTTACAATAATTCGCTCAAATTCTTTTTTAAAATATGATTTATTAATATTGAAACTTAAAAACAAGTTTTTATAATGAATAAGTCCATGGTTTAACTTGTAAGGATTCTTTAATGTATAAATTAATCAAAGGGTGAGGCAGAATAATTAATACCAATATAGATCGAGACAGAAGTTAAAATTTCCACAGACTTTTTATCATGCTAGGAGCTAAAATGCAAACCAACGGAAAAGGTAATAAACATATTTTTTTTTAACTTAGGTGGTCAATTTCTAATTCACGGTTAATAAATTGATTTTTAATAAAACTTTGTCTATCGTATTTTCCAGTTAGAGAGTCATAATTTATTTACCCCCCCCCCCCATCTCATCTTCAATTATCATTTGTCCATTCATACACAATACCATATTATGATTTATAACATATTATTATTATGTCTCTTCAAGTTATTATGTGATATTATAGTAAATTTACAGAATGGGCGTTTGTGGGAGATTGGAAGGATTGGATTTAAATAAGGGAGGGAGGGAGTTGTTTATGGGGAAGAGGGGGGGGGGGTTGATTGCATGCATATAAGGGGGAAGGAGAGGGGAGGGGGGGAAACATGATAGAGGGAGTTTAGATGTAAGTTGGCTGTGAGAGTTTAACCCAGAATAAATTACAATATCAAATCATCACGAGATAAAATAAACATTAAAGCTAAAAGTTTAAGATATCAAATGCAGGATTAATATTGCATATTGTGAAAACAGATGTCATGGATAAACTATGGTTTCCAATCTCCTACTCCAGTCTGCCATTTGAATACAGGACAGGATAAGGTCAAACAAGGCTTCCTTAATCCTTACCACACTGTGACATAACCACAAGATATACCTTGCACCTCAAGTATCCCTGGTATCCTTGGTACCCCTTGTATTCCTAGCATCCCTGGTATACCTTGTATTCCTAGCACCCCTGGTATACCATGTATTCCTAGCACCCCTGGTATACCATGAATCCTTGGTATTTCTGTTTTTCCTGGTATCCCTGATAATCTTGGTATTCCTGATATCTGTTATCCCTGATTATCTGGTATCCCTTGTATCCCTGGCATGTCTTCTATCCCTAACATTTCTGGTATCCCAGGTGTCCTAATATCCCTAATAATCCTGGTCTACTATTTATATATTTGATATCCCTGTTACAACCATTATGTAATTGAACCAATTACAACTGTAGCATAATTTGAACATGAGATGGGAACCCAGACTGGTAATAAGGAAATACTTTAAATCACGGGATATTTTAAATGCCGGCGTAACAATACAATTTTATTTTTTAAATTTAGACTTGTAATTTACCTTTTTACTGGTTCTATTTGTCAGATCCAGACCGTCGTTTTCTATGTGTGAAACATCCTTCTTAGTGTTAGTAAAGTTGAAAACTAAAGTGTTTTGTTTCTCCTGCCTTGCTTTCCAGTTCTCTCTGTATCCTCCACCACCTCCAGCCTTGTCGGTCACATCAACCTTTCCTTCATCACTAATATTCAGTTCCTTCCTTGCTCCCGGAGGAGAAGGCTCAGCTTCAATGTTGGAATCAAAATATTTCTCCGTAATCTTAGGTTTCGGAGAAGCCAAATGTTCAAGCTTACTTCCATTCCTTGGAGGAATGACGGGAGGGGATTTCTCCCATCCATTGGTTATCACAGGTTTAGAACTCGAAGGTTTAATCAACTCCGGAGCAGATTGTTCCACTGTAGTTTTGATATGTTTCTGAAACAATAGATGATAGAACCTCAATTCAGTTTCAATTTCATGAATGAAATAGAATAGGGTTGTGTTAAACAATATATATACTGTACAGATAACAAAAATTCAAATTCATAATAAGCTTTAGAAATTTCAGGATTTTCATTTATCTGTTTGGAGAATAATAAAATATTCTTCTGACCTGAGTATTTGAAGACCAGGATTGCCCGTGGACTGAGTCTGTCTTCTTGTTGTTGTTCGTCTTGTCTGGACTAATTATGACAGATCTGGGTCTTATCTCCGGAATATCTAGTTCTGCATCTCTACTGATGGGTTTAATGACTCCAACCTAGTAGAGCGTATCACAATCTTGCATCAGTTAAGATTGTTAAAAGTTTATTGAAGCAAATAGTTATTTTAATAAAATTCAAATATAATTAAATTGGCAACTTCGAGGAGCTTTATTCTGGATGTTTTTAAAGTAACCACTACACTACACCTGTGCGTACTAAATTTAGCAAAACCTACCAGCTCAGAAGGAAGACAGATATGATAATGTTAACTTAAAATTGTCAAGGTTATGGTTTCCAATCAGACAAAGCGTTATTGAGATGACAGGCAACATTTAGCACCGTATATTCACTCCCACCTGGAGTAAAGGCAAGATTTACCGTATATTTACTCCCACCTAGAGTAGAGACAAAATTTGCAGTATAACTACTCCCCCCTGGAGTAAAGGCAAAATGTAAGGTATATTTATTCCCACCTGGAAAAAAGGTAAAATTCACCGTATATTTACTCCCACCTGGAATAAAGGCAAGATGTAAGGTATATTTATTCCCACCTGGAGAAAAGGCAAAATTCACCGTATATTTACTCCCCCCTGGAATAAAGGCAAGATGTAAGGTATATTTATCCCACCTAGAGTAAAGGTAAAATTCACCGTATATTTACTCCCACCTGGAATAAAGGCAAGATGTAAGGTATATTTATTCCCACCTGGAGAAAAGGCAAAATTCACCGTATATTTACTCCCCCCTGGAATAAAGGCAAGATGTAAGGTATATTTATCCCACCTAGAGTAAAGGTAAAATTCACCGTATATTTACTCCCACCTGGAATAAAGGCAAGATGTAAGGTATATTTATTCCCACCTGGAGTAAAGGCAAAATTCACCGTACACTTACTCCCACCTGGATGTAAAGGCAAGATTTACCGTACACTTACTCCGACCTGGAGTAGAACCCAAATATATAAGGTAATTCATTCCACCAGAATATATGAAAAAATCTACGCCGGATATTCATCCGGCCTGGAGTCGTCCAACAAAATATAGAAAAGAATAAAGATTGTTAATAAATATCCCCCCGGCCCCCACCACTTCGGGTTTCTAGGGTTGAAAATAAATTTTAAAACTGTAAAGTTGGATGCATTTAATTGACAAGATATTTTGGAGAGAAATTTGTAAACAAATAACAAAAAAAAATTGTTTAAACAGTGTTCAGCAGAAACCCTAAAAATGTCTGTGGTTACAGACTACACCTAAAAGATAAAGTATTTTGCAACCTATCCTTGGTATTTCTGTTTTTCCTGGTATCCCTGATAATCTTGGTATTCCTGATATCTGTTATCCCTGATTATCTGGTATCCCTTGTATCCCTGGCATGTCTTCTATCCCTAACATTTCTGGCTTCCCGACTTGAAAACAAAAAGTTTGCCACAACCCCCTTTAACAATAAACAAATTAACGTATCCCCCCCCCCCCCCATCAGTGAGGTAGGGTAGGAGAGAACAAAGGTAAAGGATGACTAATCTATGGAAAGGTACTGGATACTGTATATTATATATATTATCACTCTGGCAGTATATACAGTGCAAAGTGCACACACCAATATATCAGATTCTAAATCTTAAATCAAGATCCAGGAAACATGATCTTAGATATGAAAATAAATCCGCGAAACCTATCTATTGACGGGTCACGTTGGTGAATCAGAAAGAAGAAGTTCTAAGCCTTCACATCAAACCTTTATTACTCAACCGGAGCAGGCGTCACGATACTCAATTAAAATCCATACCATTAAAACCTGCCTTAATAAAATATTTGGTGGCAGTGAGAGTGGGGGGGGGGCGTCCTGATGTATCATTTCAAGTTTTAAAAAACAAGGGAAGCTAGCGTGTATTGGAAAAACACTAAATGTAAAAAGACAAGGGATAAAGATAGGTTTTTAAAGACAAGGGATAAAACTAGTTGAAAAAAGACAAGGGATAAAACTAGATGGATAAAGACAAGGATTAGAACTAGATGGATAGCGACAAGGATTAGAAATAGATGGATAAATACAAGGGATATAACTAGATGTAGACAAGGGATAAAACTAGACGTATACAGACAAGAAATAGAACTAGATGTTTAAAGACAAGGGATAGAACTAGTTGAAAAAAGATGAAACTAGATGATAAAACTAGATCGATAAAGACAAGGATTAGAACTAGATGCTTAAAGACAATGGATAGAACTAGTTGAAGAAAGACAAGGGATAAAACTAGATGTAAAAAGACAAGGGATAAAACTAGATGTAAAAAGACAAGGGATATAACTAGATGTAAAAAGACAAGGGATAAAACTAGATGTATAAAGACAAGAAATAGAACTAGATAGATACAGACAAGGGATATAACTAGATGTAGACAAGGGATAAAACAAGATGTATAAGATGGATAAAGACATTTATAATTATTAACCACATCAAGTAGATATTAACAAAAGAATGAGGATTGAACAAATAAAATAAATGAAATAGAGTAAGTTTAAAGTGATGTGCTCTAGCCTGTTTGTTTGATGGTGATGTACTAGAAACTGGAGAACCTGGCAGATGAGATTTTGATCCTGGAGAAAACTCAGGAAAATTGAAACTCATTACGTTTCCATCCTTGCGGATGTTTTGAATAGAATCCGCCGATATTTTCTTAGTCCCTTCCTCAGACTCAGGGTGCTCAGTATTACTGGAAGTATCTTCAGAATGAATTTTCTTGGTTACAGGTTGTAGATTTAGTCTTACGTTCTCAACCTCATTGGGAAGAGGTTCATTTAATATGGGACTCTCTTTTCTTACTTTGGTGAGAACATTGTTTAATCCTGAACTCCGGGTAGCGTCGGATAATGCCGTCCTGAAAGGATTGTTTATGTTTACTATCGGAGACAAATGACTGGGTTTAGCTGGTATGGCCGGCCTGGAGACAGAAGGACTAGAATTCTTCTGTAATCTTAGCAAAGATTCTCTGGAACCAGTTCTAACCGGACTGCCAGAGCTGGTTCCTCCGCTGGTGAACCTGGAACCAGAAGGACGCGAGACGGGTTTAGACGAGGTTTTCCGACCCAGCCCCGTCCTTCCCGACATGGCATTTGAAGATTGGACTGACTTTGGAAGATCTTCCTCTGAGTTCTTCTTTTTTATTTTCTCCGATGTCAGAGATTTGATGACAGGTTTGGTATATAAGCTGGAAGTAGATTTAGCTTTGGTTAACCCATTGGTTGCTATCACTTTACTCTCGGTCAATCCAGACTTCTCAGATTCAAACAATTTCCTGGTCTGTTTCACGGTATCCGGAGCAGGGAGTTCTCTGTCCTTAACTCCGAAGAGAACTCCTGCGGAAGGAGGTTTAGGAACGGGTTTGGTTACACTTGATGAATATTTAGACCTTGAAAAGGATGGTTTGGGTTGAATGGTTTGAATGGTTGGGCCACCTGGTCCTGGTTTCTCTTCAATTATAACAATATCATTAACTAAAGCTGGAGCAGTATTGAGTACAAGGTTCACATTACTCTGCTCCGTCTTCTCTCTAGGGGGTAGAGGTGGGGGGGATTCACTCGGAGGAAGAATATCATTTTTGAAAAATGCATCTGATAACACACTGTCTCTAGGTTTAGGAGAATCGTTAAGAATTGATAGAACCTCAACAGATTGAGCTCGTTTCATCGACTCCCTCTTAGACTTTGCCTAAATATCGAGTTTGATATTAAAAATAATGTCAGGGTGTTACAAACAAAATCTTAGTATATATTAAAATATAGTCAAGACACGTAAACTAAACTAAGTAAAGCTGTGAAAAAGAGAACAAGTGTTTTAATTTTCTTTTTAAATTGGAAATTTCATGGAAAAAAACAGCTGTTTATGAACTTATATTTATGCTGAAATCAGTTTAAACGCAGTTGCAAAGGGATACACTTACTGTTTAAACAACATCTTGGGTTACTTAAATTAAAGAGGATTGAATAATATCAAACTGAACCTGAGATACAACTCCGGATGTTGAGGAGTTAATCCTTCCATAACTGCTCCGGCTGGATTGATATTTTTGAACCGGAGATCTTACTCCAGCTTCTCTGTTCTCGTCTTGTTTACTCCGCTCAATCTCAAGGAAATCCTCCAGTGATGCCGTTCTTCTCAGGGTACCAATAGTTCCCCGCGGAGTTCCTCTCAAAGCTACGGACATATAACGAGATTTGAGACGGGATACGAACCCAGGACCATAATGTATCTCCTCTGAGCTATCTGATTCTCCTCCTGAACCCATCATACCGTCGCTATCTCCTCCCCCTCCTCCTCCTATAAGATTATCTCGTCCTACATTCCTTTTCCCTGCCAGTCTGCTCCTCTGAACCCTGGAACCTACCCCACCCAACCCTCGTGGATCAATCTCACTCCTCGCATTGCTGAGGAACAGTCGCTTGTCCTCCCCCATAGGTTGAGATCCCAGAGAGTCGTCAGAGTAACGGTTCGTCACATAGCGACAATTCTTATCTGCTGTATCATCCTCGTCGCTATCAGAGAATATGACAATATCAGCCTGCACCACTTCTATTATATCCTGGTTTATTAGAGGATATTCAGGAATATGTCTATTCTTGTCGAATGAGTCACTAAAGGTTTCTGGTGAATTTTGGAGTCGGGAAGTCCCGCACTCCTCTGACTGGAGTGTACTGAGCACGGGACTGGGAGTGAGATGTAAAAGGTCGTGCCGGTTTGGATACTCTCTATGAGAGCGCACTGCCTGCCTTGTTGTAACACCACCCTCGTCTCGCTTTAACATTCCATTCCTGGTCTTCGGATGAATGTTAATGCCAGGTTTTATCGGTAGATGGTGGGGAGGAAACCTAGTCTGTGCGCCAGTATCGCCATCTGCCACCTGATTGAAGAATTTAATAATATCAGCTGTTTTGTTCATTGCTATCTCGTCTCTACTAAGAAGACGACTTTCAAGAACATCCGTAGTTCTCTTCGCCAGTATCTCTGAATCTTTTCGTTTCACGATCAGATCTTTTTTCCAGACTGGAAGATCCTCATTCCGCTCCTCCTCCATTGATCTTACGGAAACTAAAAAAAAAAACATTGTATAATTAACAAAAATGTAATAGATAAAAATTGGGGTTACAAGTACTAGAATGAAAATTGCTTGTATATAACGAACTTGATTATTAGCGTCTTAGAAAGTTTATGACATTTATAAAAGCTATCTATGGGCGCTTCATACATTGTAAACCAAAAACAAATAAAAGTTTGCGGATTTTCAAAAAAAATTCGCGGATCATCAAAATTTTATGGAAATCGAATTTCATTGGAGGCTTTTTGGGAAATTTTGATAATCCATAAACCTTCCCTGGGGTCACGTGATGGCCCACACAAAATTTGCTCCCGATCGGTTCAGCCGTTTTGACGTTTATTGGATCCAAATTCAAACAAACAAACAGACAAGCAAAGTATATTTATGAAAAAGAAAAAGTTTACTAATGATAAAGAAATAAACTGTCTATATTTTGTTCAAGTCCTGTACTTTTTGAGTAATCCTACATCAATTATTGAACCGGGTGATATTATGTCTGACTTTACTCAACTATTTCGAATTAAAAAATAAAAACAATTTCTTTTCTACATGTTTTTCGATGTGTTTGTAAAATCCAAGAATTATATTTCATAAATATAAATACACCAAAGTACAATTACAATGCTGGGCGGAACTATATATAGTGGAGATAACCCTCCCTTCATTTCCTCTCAACTAGAGACAGAACCTTAATGTCAAATTTATGCCATTTTACTGTGGTACTCCTTTTCTTTTGCAACTTCATAACTCCTCTAATTTTGATTTTACAAGTAGGAGAAAAGCTAACTTTTTGCATACATATTTGTTCTCAATAGCTCTTGAAAAAGATGAATTCTTATTGAATCTATGTAAGAGTTTAATCATGCAACATACTATTCCCTGTATCACATTGCACTCTATTATAAATAGTTTGACAAACTGAAACTGGATCTATTTAGGCTGAATGTGACATGTTGAACAATATATATGCATGTATTGTATAATAGCTGAAGAATGCATTGTCTCTACCTCCTTATACCCTGATGTATTCTAGATATATATATACAGAACCCTTCCCCTATCCTATACACACTTGCAGTATTCACGCATTCTTATAAATCGCATTTAATAATATTTATTTCAGTCAATCATTTCCTTCGGTTTAACCTTTACTTAACTTCTTCATTTTTAACTTAATCCTTCACAAAGTCTTGGCTTTCAATATTCTTTAAAAATTCTTGAGGTTTGGTCGACAAACTCTTCAAGATAATCATTTCTTGACTCTAAAAATTGTACTATCTCTACTTTTCACTTTCTGCTTTACAACACTTTTTCTACAACTTTTCCCTTTCTGCTCTGTACTTTCTCTTCTTTTCCCTTTCTGCTCTATACTTTCTCTACTTTTCCTTTTCTGCTCTATACTTTCTCTATTTTTCCTTTTCTGCTCTATACTTTCTCTATTTTTCCCTTCTGTTCTACCCTTTCCTTACAGTGATAACCAGAGAAATCTGGAATAGGAAGATGACTTTTAGAATTAAGTTATAACTTTAAAAAGTCCAATGAGCATGAGACACATCAGTTTGCAGTGTAAACAGACTCATTTCACTAAATTAATTATTTAATAAATGTCACGTAAATCTATTTGCGTTGTAACAACATGAAGTACACTTGAGTATTGCAATATGTCGTCTTTTATTCCGTTGTTTTCTGGTTATCACTGTTTATATACCCTTTCCCTTTTTTCTCACTTTCTCTAATCTCTAACCTACATTTTCTTCAGTTTTCACTTTCTTTACTTTTCACTTCCTGCAAAACTTTTTCTCCTCTACCTTTTCTTTTTTAATCTTTCTCTATACTCTTTACTTTCTGCTCTAAACTTTCTCTATTTTTCCATTCTGCTCTACACTTTCTCTACTCTTCCTTTTCTGCTTTACACTTTTTCTTCTTATCTTTTGCTCTACACTTACTCTTTTCTTCCTTTTCTGTTTTAAATCTATACATTTCACTTTCTGATTTACATTTTTTCTGCTCTTAACTTTCCCTATTTTTCTTTTTCTGCTCTTAAATTTTTATTCTCTTTTCTTTTTCCTCTACACTTTCTCCACTTTTCACTTTATGCCTTATACTTTCTTTACTGTTCTACTCTTTCTCTACTTTTCCCTTTCTGCTCTATACTTTCTCTACATTTCCCTTTCTGCTCTACACTTTCTCTACTTTTCCCTTTCTGCTCTNATGCTCTATACTTCCTCTACTCTTTCTCTTTATGCTCTATACTTCCTCTACTCTTTCTCTTTATGCTCTATACTTCCTCTACTCTTTCTCTTTATGCTCTATACTTCCTCTACTCTTTCTCTTTATGCTCTATACTTCCTCTACTCTTTCTCTTTATGCTCTATACTTCCTCTACTCTTTCTCTTTATGCTCTATACTTCCTCTACTCTTTCTCTTTATGCTCTATACTTCCTCTACTCTTTCTCTTTATGCTCTATACTTCCTCTACTCTTTCTCTTTATGCTCTATACTTCCTCTACTCTTCCCTTTTATGCTCCATGTACTTCCTCTACTCTGAATTTCTTTCTTTACGTTTCCTTTTTTGTACTGCTCTAACTATAACTGATTACATTCTTCTAAACCCTTTAAACTTTCAGTCACTTTCTTTAAAGTTTCATTACACTACCTTAATACATTCCGTACTAATGCAATTTAGATTTTAAAATATTATTATTAAGTTTTCTTGAATATTTACTTCTCCTTAACAGCACTATTGAAGACGATAAACTGAAAGAAAGAACAAAATGTATAAAATCAAATTTTCTCTAATTTTCATTGAAATTTAATCCTTTTATTCTCTCGGTTCATGAAACAGTTAATTATTAGATGCATAGAGGACACAGGGTGTGTTTAGTGTAAACCATTACATGCAGTTTTTACATTCAAGACTTAAATATTAACGGTTAATGTATCCACATAAATACAGGTTTAATCAACTTCACTCCTTAAAGAGAATGTTCTTGTAATTTCAAGTTATCCTCCAGACTCCGTTATATAAGAGGACTATGCCCAATTAAAAAATTATCCTTTAAACCTTTACCTGATCCATAAAGTGGAAAATATCCTTTAAACCTTTACCTGATCAATAAAGTGGAAAATATCCTTTAAACCTTTACCTGATCAATAAAGTGGAAAATATCCTTTAAACCTTTACCTGATCAATAAAGTGGAAATTACCCTTTAAACCTTTACCTGATCAAGTGGTCTGACAATTTTTCCATTGTTTTGTAAAAGAAACCTCAATTAAAAATAATCAATTTGTAAAAAGAAAAAAGCTGGAAAACTCGATCATTTTTTCTCAGACAAAGATTTGAAGGTCACCGTTGTTGAATGGACAAGCATTTACTTTAAATGGAGTTAGGGTAACATGATATTAGTTATACAGTCCTTTTAATTGCTGACGACGACCTTTAACTTTAGAATCTTGGAATCACAAATTTAAAACATTTAAAGGTGTTTTGGAGCATTTTGGATACTACTCAATCATCATATGTTATAGTTATATAGCTGTTCCCAAAGCAAAGTCGATTGTTTTGAATCTTTGTGACAGAAACAATCTGAAGAACTGAGGAGGGTCAACCCAAACTGAAATATATTTTCAATAAACTATGAACTCTCTGAGATTTGGTCCATCATCAACACACAATTTAAAAAGTCTATCTTGTTAATTAAATAATAAATGTAGAATAATAGTACATCATCTTCTCTTGTGGAATGATGGAGAAATGAGGGAGAAATTAGGAAGAAATAAAGAAGAGAAGAAATGAAGTAAAAATGAGGGAGAAATGAGGGAGAAATAATGGAGAAATGAGGGAAAAATTGTGGAGAAATGAGGAAGAAATGATGGAAAAATGAGGGGAAAATGGTGAAGAAATGATGGAAAAATTATGGAGAAATGAGGAATAAATGATGGAAAAATGAGGAAGAAAACTGATGTAAAATTTACGACTATGTGCACATGGCCTGCAAAGCATGTCAGTGACTATTTTTAGCTCAGTTTAAAGAAAGAACTTTAAAAATTACTTATTCCACGATAAGACGGATTAGACATGAGAGGAAATCATTCTTGCATCTGGGTGAAGGATATATTCTACGCACTTTGATTCAATTCTTCAACATGACAATCATTAACAATCATGCAACTAATCAAGTTCAACCAACAAGCTATTTTAGATATTTGTGAACTGTAACACTATAGTTTCAGTAGAAGTAAATATTTCCATTAACTGATAGCGCCGATCGCAGGATTCATATCTCTAATTGGATAATGAGATAGATAGAAAGATATTACCGCCATACTATATCTATATGGTTCAGAATAGACAACAAACATATGACTGAACCCTGATTGGATCAGGCGCTCATGGACTCGGCATACAGGAGTGGTATGCCCATTCTCACATTAAAAATCTACCATGGAAGTCAAAAACTCCTGCTGAAGTTAGAAACATGCAATACCTTTGAAACTATCCTATCTAATGCTAGAAAAAAATATAAAAATTTCAGATAGTAAAAACTGAAATCGGAACTTTTGTTTAAAGTATCCTTAATCATTAAAGCTTGATCTTGATATTCAATGTGAGCCTTTTTAAATTTGATGCAAAATACTTGATCCCTAAATTATAGTTATCCCTACAGGGTATGAATACCAAGGGATATTAAAGATGAATTAAATAAATTCTGAAATCTGCATTAGAATAAGATCAATGCTTGTTTTAGAGATTAACAACACAAACTTCTGACTTTTGGACAAGTTTAAGATAATTGTTTACAGTATAACTTAATGCGCGCAATGCGCATACTTTAACCGTAGGTATCCTACATCCTTTTTTCCATTAAAGGGACTGTAAGCGTAATTTCAAGTGACAATGCCCGATTCACAACGATACACTTAAAATCCTTCGTCTGATCAATAATGTGGAAGAAAAAACGCTTAATCATGGTAATTCCTATATATTTTCCTGCAATGGAAAGGCGAAAGCACTTTTATAGAGAATCCACAATTGAAAATAATCAGTTTTCAAAGTTATAAACATTGATACAAAATTTATACTTGATCAGAAAACACTCTGAAGGGTACCGTTGTGAATTGGGCATTGCGATCTTAGCAGGAGTGTCACTTGAATACCCTTACAGTCCCTTTATAAACAAGCTAGTATATATATGTATTGGAGACCTTTTCACGTTTACATCTTTAGCCGCATGTTTATGACTCCCCCTGCAATTCTATCTATTCACAAGCTTTGTATCCGAAGCTAAGGAGGGATTAACCGCAACTGTGTGTATATATAATCTACTCATGGAGCTGAACCAACAGTCAACACTCCCATCTAGTGGTTTGTTTGTTGATGGAATACTTGAGTTTGCTGGGCAGGGTTGTCATGACCACACAGATATATTTAAGAGACTGTCCAGTGTTTTCAAGGGAACCTTTATCTTAAGAGTTTACCATACCTTTTTAAACTTTATCTGAGTAATAATGAGGAAAAATATCCTGGAAAGAGATAAATTCAGTCAGATTCCTCTTTATCTCTGCCGAAAAAATCCACAAATCACTTTTAAAGAGAATTTGTCATAAAAACCGTTCAATTTTCATTGTTTCAGATTTTCTTTTGAACAAAGGTTTTTTAAATGAAATTTCAATGATAGTCTTTTTAAAATGCAAAACTGCAACAAGGTACACTCCACTAAAACCAACTATGTCTTCGTTCATTGTACTTGTAACTTTGAAAATGCTGCCTTTGGTCGACTATTAGCCTGTTTTATTTAATAATAGCAATGATTAGAAGTTAGAATCCGTTCGTGAAACAGCTTTCATTATAACTACACTACTGTAAACTCCCGTTCATTTGAAGAATCGGGCTGACTTTTTAGCAGATCAGAACGAGACAGTACAAACAAATAAATCATCTCTTGCTCACGAGATCATTGGGACACAAGTTCACACAGGTCAAAAAATGAGTAACAGTTGGTATAACCTAGTTTTTAAATGTAAATTTTATGAAATACTAGAATAATATAGGTTATGGATAATCATCTTAAGTTAATAACCTTGTAGACCGTGGTATGAAATAAATATTCTCACTTCTTGAACAAGTCACCTTGTATCTGTGAACAGTTTAAGATAAGGACTGGTAAACCTTATCTTTAAATTATTCTTTTAAGTTTTTCCACCCAGATTAACCTGCGGTAAATCATATCTTAACAAGGATATTGATAAGCCCTGGGATATAAAACAGAATTATTAATAATTAGTTTCTCTCTCTCTAATCATTGAAGAATTTCAATATTTTTTGTCAACTGTCGTAGTACAAGAGTAATACACAAGGGTTTAAAAAGGGGGGGGGGAGGGACAAATTGGCATCTCTGTGGAATTCAGGATGAAAAAGAGATTTGTCTTTCACAAAACCAAATGTAATATTTTTGGGGAGGGGGTGGGAGTTTTGCGTAAAAGTACATAAAAAGATAAAATAACTTTTAAGAAACCATTTTTATTTCCCACCCTTGAATTTAAGCAATTCAATCCAAGTTGCAAAGATATGTATTATGGTATATGTATTTAGTATTAACATAATGAACATATGGTGAACGATTTCCAATACCCGCCCATGAAGTGCATTGATTTCAAATATTTCAATTATATCCAAGTATTTTCTCTGATTGCTTACCCTAAGCTAAATTAAGTATGTTCCTTAATATATAAATAATTTGGTGTGAGGAAGACAATACTCTATTGTAATAAGGTTTCAACGAACAGCTCACATAGCTTCTAAACCTTTAACACCATGGAAGGATTACTGGTGGAAAGGATTCCAGGTGGAGTGGGAGAAGGATTACAGGTGGAATAGGAGAAGGATTACAGGTGGAATAGGAGAAGGATTACTGGGGGAGTAGGAGAAGGATTACTTGTGGGATAGGAGAAGGATTACTCGTGGAGTAGGAGAAGGATTACTAGTGGAGTAGGAGAAGGATTACTAGTGGAGTAGGGGGAAGGATTACTGGAGTAGTAGGAGAAGGATTACGGGTTTAGTAGGAGAAAGATTACTGGAGGAGTAGGAGAAGGATTGCAGTTATATTAGGAAAAGGATCACAGGTGGAGTAGGAGAAGCATCACAAATGGAGTAGGAGAAGGATCCCAGGTGGAGTAGGAGAAGCATCACAAATGGAGTAGGAGAAGGATCCCAGGTGGAGTAGGAGAAGGATCACAGGTGGAGTATGAGAAGGATCACTGGTGGAGTAGGAGAACGATTACAGGTGATGTTGAGGAAAAATTACTGGTGGAGTAGGAGATGGATTACTGGTAGAGTAGGAGAAGGATTTATAGATGAAGTAGGAGAAGGATTACTGGAGAAGTAGGAGAAGGATTAAGGGTGGAGTAGGAGAAGGATTAAGGGTGGAGTAGGAGAAGGATTACTGGAGGAGTAGGAGAAGGATTGCAGTTATTTTAGGAAAAGGATCACAGGTGAAGTAGGAGAAGGATCACAGGTGGAGTAGGAGAAGGATTACTGGTGGAGTAGAAGAAGGATTTATAGATGAAGTAGGAGAAGGATTACTGGAGGAGAAAGAGAAGGATCGCAAGTGGAGTAGGAGAAGGATTACTGGTGTAGTAGGAGAAGGATTTATAGATAAAGTAGGAGAAGGATTACTGGAGGAGTAGGAGAAGGTTTAAGGGTGGAGTAGGAGAAGGATTACTGGAGGAGTAGGAGAAGGATTAAGGGTGGAAAAGGAGAAGGATTACTGGAGGAGTAGGAGAAGTATCACAGGTGGAGTAGGAGAAGGATCAAAGGTGGAGTAGGAGAAGGATTATTTGAGGAGTAGGAGAAGGATTGCAGTTATTTTAGGAAAAGGATCACAGGTGGAGTAGAAGAAGGATCACAGGTGGAGTATGAGAAGGATCACAGGTGGAGTAGGAGAAGGATCACAGGTGGAGTAGGAGAAGGATCACAGGTGGAGTAGGAAGGATCACAGGTGGAGTAGGAGAAGGATCACAGGTGGAGTAGGAGAAGGATCACAAGTGCAATTAGAGAAGAATTACTTAATGAGTAGAAAAAGAAATACAGGTTTAGTAAGAGTAAGGTGTCAGATTACAGGTGCAGTAGGAGAAGGATTACAGCCTGTGCAGTAGAAGAAAGATTGAAAGAGTTAGAGTAGGAGAAGAAAAATTCTGGATTTCAGAGCGCTTTTGCGCCCAACTTCAATTTCTTTGTAAACATTTCCTCTTTGTATACATTTTATAAAAAAGTTTCGCGGATTTTCAAAATTTAATGAAGATCCAATTATGTTGGAGGCAAATTTTTGAAATTTTGATCGTTCATAAACCTTAAACCCTGGGGTCATGTGAGGTCCCACAACAAAGTTTGGCCCGACCAGACATACAAGCAAAGTATATATAAAGATAAAGCTAGGTAAAAAAGTAAGTTTTCAGTTTCCATATTTTGTATTTTTTCACAATTTAGGATTTAGGAATCGATCTAACTCTAATAACTTTTACCATGATGATAAGTGTAGTTCAAGTACCTGTCATAGTTGAACTGGTCTAGAATACAACAAATACTTTATCTGGCTTCTTCTCTACAGATCCTCTTCATAACTAAACTCTATTGATTTAATTCAACTTAAATCCTAAGGTAAAGTTGAAAAACCACTGTTAATTTGGATTAATTTAACGGTTCAACTGATCAGGGGACAATTAACATACATGGATTGAATTGTCAGGAGTAAAAGTGTATTCTAAGAACACCGGAGAGCTCCCGGATTAAGTTTGAAACTAATTCTCAGTCGGAGTTCCAAGTATAAACTGAAAGTGTCCGAACATGTGACTGGTAAACCTTATCTTTAAATTATTCTTTTAACACACCTCCCCTCCCCCACCACCCTCCGTATACTTTGTCCCATACCTCTCTACCTCCCTACTGAAATATAGGCTAAAATCATAGTTCCTTAAACCATATGGTGCAGGAACATATATAAGAAACGAAGAAAAAGTGTTATCCTGAACAAGGATAGTAGAACCGGAGCAGAAAACTACTCTCACTAGACCCGGAGCAGAATACTTACACCAGGGACGAACACTTGAACTAGAGAAGAATATTTGAATAAGAGAAGTTTTTTTGACAGAGAAGAATACTTAGACTAGAGAAGGATACTTAAACCAGAGAAAAATACTTAGACTAGAGAGATACTTAAACCAGAGAAGAATACTTAGACTAGAGAGATACTTAAACCAGAGAAGGATACTTAGACTAGAGAAGAATACTTCGACCCAGAGAAAAATAAATAAAACAGAGAAGATTACTTGAACCCGAGAAGGATTCTTGAACCCGAGAAGGATACTTGAACCAGAGAAGGAAACTTGAACCAGAGAAGGATACTTGAACCAGAGAAGAAAACTTGAGCCTAGAAAAGGATACTTAAACCAGAAAGAAACTTGAACCAGAGAAGGATACATAAACCAGAGAAGAAAACTTCGACCCAGAGAAAAATAAATAAAACAGAGAAGATTACTTGAACCCGAGAAGGATTCTTGAACCAGAGAAGGATACTTGAACCAGAGAAGGATACTTGAACCAGAGAAGAATACTTGAACCAGAGAAGAATACTTTAACCCAGAGAAGGATACTGAAACCAGAGAATGATACTGAAACCAGAGAAGGATACTTAAACCAGAGAAGAACATTTAGACTAGAGAGAGATACTTAAACTATAGAAGAATACTCAGACTAGAGGGATACTTAAACCAGAGAAGAATACTCAGACTAGAGAAGAATACTTTAACCAGAGAAGAATACTTGAAACAGAGAAGGATACTTGAACCAGAGAAGGATACTTGAACTAGAGAAGAATACTTGAACCAGAGAAGGATACTTGAACCAGAGAAGGATACTTGAATCAGAGAAGGATACTTTAACCCGAGAAGGATACTTTAACCCAGAGAAGGATACTTAATCCCAGAGAAGTATACTAGAACCAGAGAAGAATACTTGAACCAAAGAAGAATACTTAACCCAGAGAAGGATACTTAAACCAGAGAAGAATACTTAAACCCAGAGAAGAATACTTGAACCAGAGGAGATAAACTTAAACCAGAGAAGAATACTTAAACCCAGAGAAGGATACTTAAACCAGAGAAGAGTACTAGAACCCAGAGAAGGATACTTAAACCAATGAAGAATACTAGAACCCAGAGAAGGATACTTTAACCCGAGAAGAATACTTAAAACAGCGAAGAATACTTAGACTAGAGAAAGATAAAGAGAAGGATACTTAAACCCAGAGAAGGGTACATAAACCAGGGAAGCTTGAACCAGATAAGGTTACTTGAGCCAGAGAAGAACACTTTAACCCGAGAAGAATACTTAGACTAGAGAAAGATAAAGAGAAGGATATTTAAACCCAGAGAAGTATACTAGAACCAGAAAAATAATAGTTAAACCAGAGAAGAATACTTGAACCAGAGAAGGATACTTGAACATGAGAGGAATACTTGAACAAGAGAGGAATATTTAAACCCGAGAAGGATACTTGAACCAAAGAAGGATACTTGAACTAGAGAAGGATACTTGAACCAGAGAAGGATACTTGAACCAGAGAAGGATACTTGAACCAGAGAAGGATACTGAAACCAGAGAAGGCTACTGAAACCAGAGAAGGATACTGTAACCAGAGAAGGATACTGTAACCAGAGAAGGATACTGTAACCAGAGAAGGATACTGTAACCAAAGAAGGATACTAAAACCAGAGAAGGATACTGAACCCAGAGAAGGATACTGAAACCAGAGAAGGATACGGAAACCAGAGAAGGATACTGAAACCAGAGAAGGATACTGAAACCAGAGAAAAATACTTGAAAAGAGCACGATACTTAAATTAGAGTATGATACTAACTTCTCTAACACCTCTAACCTGTTCAATAATTGTAGAAAGGTAAATGTATTTAAGATAAAATGTGAACTGGTAAAATTCATTTATAAAAACTATGGACTTAAAGGATACAAATTTATATTAGTTACAGGTATAGATGGGTGCAGATCCAGGCTAACTAGATTAGACAAATTATGAAGAAATGCTAGTAAATAAACACTAACATACATTTGGTATTTCTCTACTTATGTGAAAGCAGATAATTGGCCATCTAAAATAATTTTGGGATTGTATGGGTAACTTTAGTGAGGAACCCTTTAAATGAGAAAACTCGTCTTTTTAAAGTATTCTGATGTTCTAGTTCAAATCAAAGGTGATGGTAAAACATTAACATTTGACAAAATCCGTCCCGACGCAGGATCTAGAGACTGTTGGTAACATCCAGAACGTATCTGGTGATCTGATCATTCTTCTTCTGTAGGGACTCGTAGACCATGTCTAGTTCTCCAGCCTTGATCAACTTTATCTCAGGAACAATCTTGTGCGCCGCACAGAAATCAATGCATTCCTTAAATAAGTGAATGTTAATTGACCAGATATCAATCAATTTTTCATCGTTAAAATTGACAGGAAACCTTTTCGAGTGAACTGACCAAATCGTAACAATTTATCCACATTTTATCCTCTAAACATTGCATGGGCTTACTGTGTATTTAGCCAAGTGGTATGTGCTAGTGGTCAATATTAGTTTGGTGGGCCGGAATAAAGATCAAAACATATCCAACCAATAAGTATTAAAATATAACCAAATCCAACCAAAAATCTCGGCAAATAAAAAAAACGTAGGCTCAGTTTCATTTGCCATAATACACTTGCTATAATTATACAAAGATAATAAAAATCTTAATATTTTTTTTATAAAAAATAAAACTTTAGTTAACAAAATGGTAGAAATCAGAAAAGTTGAGTTCCACTGTTTCTTTTTAGTGACCTTCGATACAACGGAAGGTTAACTCCATGGTTTGGAACAGAAATTTAACTTCACCTAGACGTGCCTAAAGTGAAATATTGAAAATGTTAGATGTTTTTTGTAATTCTAATTAATTCTAATCATGGCAAGTGTAGCTTATGGTAAGTTTTACCGATGGCAAACATATAATGACAAGTGTAATAATGGTACAAGTGTCATGACAAATGTTACTGAGCCGATTGTCCAACTGCTCCATGGTCTTGCCTTCCATAGACTAGGGTTTTTTAATCTGTACAGCCAACCCTTGGAATCACAACCAATCCAACCAATCTATTTAATCTTTATTTTCAATCCCAGATATATCAAGATGTGATTAGTTACCTGGGTTTCTTAATATATATATATATATATATACATAAAGGATATTTACTTCATCATGAGGGGCATCTGTTGAACAAGGTGGTCGGACAGAACTAAACCAAGCTGAACCAGAGTTCCGTCTCGTTTCTTAATAAAAATTATTTTAAAGTTATTGAATTCATAACTTTAAGTGACTCTCCATTTTCTTAGGAAAAATATGAAGTTTGCAAGTGATATCCATTATTCTCTCTTTGAAAATTAATTATTTAAGATTGTAGTTCATCCATATAGTTACTTGTGTATTTCTGCTTCAGCTAAACAATGGAGGAAAAGCAAAAAAACTAAGATATCTTCTTCATTTTTGATCAGATTAAAATTTTTAACTTTAAAGGTTTCAAGCGCCGGGGGGGGGGAGTGCATTGAGACTAGAACCGAAAGTGGAGGGTTGCCGAGTGCAGCGGCTAGGACTACCAGGGGGGTTGGAGGTGTGCCGGGTGCTACAGTAGAAGAAGCTAATTTTCAAGAATATTCAAAGATTATTTCATAAAGCCTTGATAGTACAAATCTAAGTAAGACAAATGAAAAAAATATATAATAAAGCTCTTTGCATATATATATATATATATATATATTTATCTTAGCTGGAGTATCCAGGTTCATATTATTCGTTGTAATCAATTTTGATTTTACATAAAGTGCCGGTGTCATGAATGTAGCTGATTCCTGCATGGGGCGGACTCCCCCTAAAGTTTTAACCATTACAACACATGTTAGACATAAAAGCAATGTTATGACATTTTCCGATATTTATTAACGTATTTTGATTGGAATAACACGTTGAAAATTATCTAAGTCAAGAGTAAATATGAACTGTTTGATTATTTTAAAGGAAGACGACATTCAAGAGGAAATAACTTTTTGCCTAAATAAAATACATTTAGAACTAAATGGGTAATTAAAATATGTCAACTAATAATTTTCAATGTTTTAACATTGCTTTTTATGTCTAACATTGTGTTAAAAATTCCGCCCCATGCAGTCGGGTCTGCTCCATGCACTACACCGGCCCTCCGGGCCTTGCCTGTGGAATTTCAAAATTATTACATTTTTAACCTGTGCCGTCCCCAGGGCCCAGGATACCCATCAAGTAAAGGTAAAAGGCGGGAGTCTCCAGGGCCCAGGATACCCATCAAGTAAAGGTAAAAGGCGGGAGTCACATGACTATGGATAATACTTTAAACCAAGGCAACTCCAGTACTAATATATTACCAGGAGAGGAATGTAAACATTAAGCTGATGCTGAGCAGAAACTGTGTTCAGAATCAGATCCAGAGAATTCTCACCAGTCTTCATACTCTCAGGATCAGAGGATACAATAAACCTAGATTAGAAATGTATTTAGTGTTCACGTGAACATTTTATTATTCTGTTATATTATACTAGCTGAAGGGCCCGGCGTTGATCAAGGAAATGAAAATGTTGAAAAAAAAATTTCGGCTATACGCAACATATATAGTATATACGAATGTCTTGTTTTATTATATAGATGATGGGAACCCAGCTTAGCCTGGATGTAAAACTTTAGCTATAAAAGCCAACCTACTTAATTCAAACTGTTTAAACCAAGCTAAGATCATTCCCATGGTTCTACCAAGTTCCCTAATCAAAATTGGAGTCAAATCGATCGAGGGGTTCCTGAGTCATGATCAGATGTATACAAACAAACAGAGATTTTTACTTTATATATATATATATAGACTAACCATAACTAAAACAAATATTGGAAATCAAAGAAAAAAACCATATTTTTCACCTGTCAGCTCCGATCTTCCTTGCAGCTTCCTCTTTGTTAGGACTGGTAGAAATAGCAGTAACCTCGTTACCTAAAGTTTAAACTAAGTCAAATCAACAATATGGATAAAAAGCAAAACAGCGATAAGACTTTTCACCCCTACCATCTCCATAAAATTGAAGAAGAAAATTATAATATATTTTTTGTGGTCGAATCTAAATCTTCAATTTCTTGGAAAATATTAGTACTATAAGAAGTATATATTTTCCTTCAAAATCCATGAAATGCAACCTTCTCGAAGGTTGATAACATACTTCTTACCCATAGCTTTAGCGAGCCTGACTCCCATCTGCCCCAGACCTCCAATACCAATGATTCCAACCTTGAGCCCACCAGACTTAGCCTGAAATATATTAATTTAGTTAAGTCTGCAACAATAGTCTTCATTTTGTCAATTCATTCAGTCAATTCATTCAGTCAAATCATTCAGTCAATTCATTCAGTCAAATCATTCAGTCAAATCATTCAGTCAAATCATTCAGTCAATTCATTCAGTCAAATCATTCAGTCAAATCATTCAGTCAATTCATTCAGTCAATTCATTCAGTCAATTCATTCAGTCAATTCATTCAGTCAATTCATTCAGTCAATTCATTCAGTAGTTGAAGTATACCTTCCAATGCGCCAGTGGAGAATACATAGTAATAGCAGCACAGAAGATAGGCCCAGCACACTCCAAAGGATATCCCTCTGGGATACGAACCAAATACCTGGAGAACGCAGGTTAAACCGTCTAGTCGGAATAAAGCGTATTTTTTTACGGAATAGGATTAAATCTAGAGTCGAAGAATCTTTTAGAAACTATCTATTACTACATTAACCCGGAGATTAATTTGTCAGAGGAGATAATTAAATTGAGGGGAATATTAATAACTTACTTATTTCAACTATTTATTTTTCTCAAAATTTATAGATAGATAAATGTAAAATAAAATTAGAAACCCTTTTTTTAATGTGTCAAAATCCGTCTTGATCACCGGAAGGATAATTATTAATTACTTATCCTCCCTGTAAATAAAAAATCACAATCTAAGTTGTATAATTAATCGAACAGGAGATTAAATAAGTATAAAAATTAACTGTTATTTTTAATTTTATTTCCCTTATAAATCTAAAATTGCGCTGAAGTTAAATCTATACCTTTGATGGACGGTTTGTGAGGCACTGTACCCCCCATAGGTGTAACCCGAGTCAGTGTTGATATGCCCATGTTTTATATCGGTATCATACGTCATGGTCATTCCTTAACATAATAATTTTTTCTAAAGAAAGGATTAATTACAATGAAATAACCCCAATTTTATTGAATGAATTACCTTTACCATTTGTTAACGACTTAAAACATTTAGGAAATGTTCTTCAAAGTGATAATTCAATGACCATAGATTGCAATAAAAAACGAGCTATTTTCATTTCAAAAATTCATTCTCTTAACCAAGAATTTTATTTTAACAGTCCTGATGTCATTTTGAAACTGTATAATATTTACTGTTGTAGTTTTTATGGATCTAGTATTTGGGACTTGAGTTCCCAATGTGTTTCAAAATTGTATACAGCATGGAATACTGCTATTAGAATTCTTTTTAATGTACCTAGAGATACGCATAGGTACTTGATTGAAAGTATTTCACAATGTTTACATGTAAAAACTATGTTAGCTANCATACAGCTGTCTACAATACACCCTACTCCAACTTGGTCTCCAACCTGAACATTAACATACAACCGTCTACAATACACCCTACTCCAACTTGGTCTCCAACCTGAACATAAACATACAGCTGTCTACAATACACCCTACTCCAACTTGGTCTCCAACCTGAACATTAACATACAGCCGTCTACAATACACCATACTCAAACTTAGTCTCCAACCTGAACATTAACATACAGCTGTCTACAATACAACCTACTTCAACTTGGTCTCCAACCTGAACATTAACATACAGCTGTCTACAATACACCCTACTCCAACTTGGTCTCCAACCTGAACATTAACATACAGCTGTCTACAATACAACCTACTCCAACCTGAACATTAACATCCAAATTTCAAAATGAAAGATTTAAAGATAAAATCAGGCAAGGGATAACAAATGTAACCTTTCAGACCTTTCTTTCTTTCGCTGAATTTAATTAATTTTCAATTCCCAAAAAAGATCCAAATCTTAAGTAAAGGTCTCAGTTCCATTTTTTTTCTTTTTTTTTAAACTTAAAGCTTTTAGACGCTTCGTGCCTTTTTCTGGCTCAGGCTTTTCTTATTCAAGCCCTAATTTCATTGTACTTCATTTTTTTAAAGCATCCATAAACAATCTGAGGGGTCATGTGAGCTGACACACACAAAAACTGGGCCCGATCAGTTCTGCCGTTATGACGTTAATTGGATAAAACAAGCAAATATTTTAGATGTATACGAAGAAAATATAGTTTTGGTTTTGGTAACAGTTATCGAGCTAAAAGTATTAGTAGACTTGTACCTTGAATCCAGTAACTTTGCTACCTACTGCAGTAACAACCCCTGCCAGCTCGTGACCAGGGACAACAGGGTAGTGGGTGTGTCCTACAATATGATTCATCAGGAATATATATACAGATTTTATAAGTAATCTTAGTTTCATTTTCTATGGTTTAGAATATGCAAAAATATTAAATAATCCGCGAAGACTTAACTATTGAGCTAAATGTATTTAAAGTCAAAAAACGAATTTAATTACAAAGATGCCGCTTCTAGAAAAAGCTTGAAAAGAACTGAAAAAGGACTTCAAAAATGAACTTTGACGAAATTGTTAAAATGTAGCATAGGCATGAGTTCTTAACTTAAATTCAGTAGACTTGGTAACCACAGAACAAAACTTGTGATTAAACTGACCCATATCGTTGTTGGCAATATGAACATCGGTGTGACAAATCCCACAATATTTGAGATCAAAGGTCACATCGTCATCTCCAGGTAGATTCCGCTTAATCGTCATTTTCTCAAACTTCTCTCCATTGCTCTTCCGCCCCCAAGCAACAGTCTCGTAAAGTTCAGCTGCCATTTTTATCCTGCAAATATTCAAAATTTAAAAAAATAATTGTTTTAGCTTCTTGCTAGTGCAGTAGTACATCTTGTAAACCGTCACTATTTAGCTCTACTTAACAATCTAACCTCCAGTATTGAACTGTCATCTTTGAACTTTCCAAAAATCCACACATAAAATCCCTTAGACTTCGCTACCCCCCCCCCTCCACCTCTCCCCCGTTCCCCCGTTGCTCCTTCCCCTTCCCACCTTTTTACTAGCCAATGAACAAGCCAGTCTGAAAATTGTTCTTGTCACTGTTTATACTGTGTAATTTCGACCCTCTCACTCAGATCCCTATTTTAGAGATGTATATAAGGATGTAATTGTTATACTTCGAATTTTTAACACATTATAGAAAGAAATCAATTGTAAAAACTTCTTTGTTTGGGGTGTGACAGGGAAGATGACGGTAGAAGATCACGGACATATAGTTCATCATATTTACACATAGGTAATAACAATAATAGTCTAATATGCGTGCATTATTATAGATTGGACCGAATACATCGAACAACCTTGGTCCAAACTCCAGGCTCCTAACTCCTCCACAATATAAAGAGAACTACTAACTGATTCTGAATTCTGAAGCAGTGACTTGGTTTTTAGTCCAAGCTTAGCCTCAGTGGCCTTGGCTTATGAAACCGTAAGCTTACATATAGAATATAAGAGGCAGGTACACAACACTTCTGTCTTCTAGGCTTCTCTTTTCACTCTTGCGTTAGTAGTGTGGAACAGTGGAGTAGAGAAGTAGAGTCAGAGAGTACGTATTTTAGAAAATGTTCTCCCAACTTAAGTTAGGGGTTCAAAGTGTACGCGAGCATTTACCGGGTGGTTAATACTTAATAATATTGTGTTAACAAAATTACCATTTTTCATCCAATGCTTAACTTTAAAAAGCGGAAGTCAACCAGGGGCGTACGAGGGCATTTGTTTCGGGGGGCACAAGTTGGGGTCCCCCCCTTGGCAACATTGTGCCCCCCCCCTAAAAAAACTCTTTTACTAATTTTTTATTTTTTCAATGAGGGGAGGGGGCATATGCCCTCTCAGCTCTCTCTTATCTTCGAAATCAAATAAACCATTTATGTGTGGATCATGAATGATTTGCTGTTGCAAAGTAACTTAACAGTAGTTTCCTAAAATAAAATTAATAAATATTTATCGTCGGAGATGAACCCTTTTTAAATTCTAACATCAAGAACAAGATATTTAATCCACAGACGGAAGACCGAGCAGACCAGGCTATAGAGTACACCTACACCATAACCTCAGATTTACAGCTTCTGTAACTACTAACTGTTGCATCTAGTGCACAATACAGCGCAAATGAGTAATGACTCAAGTAATTACATTATTGAGAAAGGTGTCGTCTTCAATTTAATCATTATAAGGAAAAGGTCAAATAATTTATTTCGTTTCTTAATCTTTTAGTTTGGGACTGGGTGAGTACAATGCAATGGAATGTAGAATGTATATTGCCTAGCCTGAGATGGGAAATGCAAGCAGATTTAACATTAAAATGCCCCCCCATGGGTGCCCCCCACTGCAGCCTCTCAGGGGGGGGGGGGCGCGGACCCCCTCGTACGCCACTGAAGCCAACGTTTTAAACATCAAATATCTTTGTCGTTTTCCAGGGCGATGTAGATAAAGATCATAAAACCTGTTCATCCACCATTTAAGTATCCCTTACTATTATATTTGCTTAAACGTCCGTCCTATTTGATTGATTCAACGTTTATTTCTATATCAAAAGGTGAGCACCTCAAATGTATATCCGTCCTATACATCGTGCTACCTATGTATATATAATGTATACAGGGGGCGTATGAGGGGGGGGGGCTCTTTTAATATTACATCTGCTTGCATTTCCCTTCCTCAGGCAATCTGCATTCTACATTGCATTGCACTCACCCAAACTAAATAAGAAAAGAAATAAAATATATATTCTGATTCACAACAACACCCTTAAACCTTTGTCTGATCCAAGTTTTGCATTTAATATCCATGTTTCCCATTTTGAAAACTGATTATTTTTATTTGTGGTTTCTCTACAAAAGTGACTCGTGCATTTCTTGCTTCAGAAACGATGGAGAAATACAGATTTCAAAGGTATATCGGAAATTAGGCATTTACTCCATTCAAGTATAATCACATCGTATAAAAAAGTATTTTAAAATCTCACTTTTGCCCTTAACTAAAAAAGTTTCAAAAAGCTTTAATCAATACTACCTTCGGTGTAAATATATATTTGATATCATATCATAATTTATAAAACAATATGTATCGATCCTATGAAAATATAGACGTTTTTTAGAAACGTTTCCATCTATATTTTTCAGCCCTTGAAGTCCTTGAAGCTTACACCACAGTATTTGGATTATCTAAAGAAAATTACTAACTAATTTATTAACACTTGTAATGTGGAAGTGTGTAATTGTATATGATCGAATAGTTCACATAATTAAAAAATAAAAAAGGTATCAAAATATTTTTTTCAAAAAGGTGTTTTTAAGGGGGGGGGCACAATGTTGCCAAGGGGGGCACAACAAAATTTTTTTGTGCGCTGAGGCAAAACGTGCCTCCTCCCCCCAACACAAATGCTCTCGTACGTCCCTGAGATAGAACTAATAATACAGGGTGGCCCAAAATAACAGGGATTATATATTCAGCCTCATTAATCGTTAAAGAAGACTTAGAAAGGTGCGCTAGTAAGTTTTAAATTTAATTTAGAAGGGGTCCAGTCCGGGGGGGGGGTCAAAAACATTTTTTGATATATTGAGATATTGGCTTAGTCTGCCCCTGCGAATCTATCCAATCTACGAGTAAATTGATACATGGTGTTGGTGTCACACGAAACATGTTGTCTTAACTCTTAACAGTTTTCTTAGATTTTTATATAATTTGCTACATCGCTGCTATTCTTTTAATAATTACTAGATACCCTTATGTCTGCCTTTTTGTACTTTTGAAGAACTACTGTCGAGTAAACAAGACAAGCTACTGAAGAATACTAATTGGTGGATTGTTCCCATAGAGAATAGAATATATAGAGAGGAATTTACTAGAAAAAAGTGTAAAACGGCCATTTTGTTGTACTGTTTCCATACTGCAGGCGCACTTCACATATTTATGCTATATAACCTGTTGGGCCCTGGAATATCATTTTATAGAAAATCTAAAATTATTGTTAAAAGAAACTCAAATTATGAAATAGGCTGGTTTCATAATTGACCAATGATCATTTCACATAGACTCTATGCCTTCCACTTTACAAATGATGATTTTCCGTTATAACTATAAATCAAATAGTGTTTTTATTCACCTAATTCATTAAAAAGTTTATTTAACAGGGAACATACTGTATTAATGTACTCTACTGCATATAATTTGTGAACATTTACATGATTTGTACGCTTTGAACTCCCTTTCAGGCTGAAAGGGACTGAAAAAATTCATACCGAGAGATTCTTTTAATTCCTCTCTATATATTCTATTCTCTATGATTGTTCCAGAATTAGGCTGGCGTACACACAGTACTGTAGTATGTAGATCAGGGGCTCCACACTTTCAATATTACCCGAGACATGAAGAACGTCGTTCAGATTGCGACAATTTTGGTTTTATTTAAAAAAATTGAAATCTGAACAAAATTCCTCATATCTCGGCTCGGGTAATATTGAATACACAGTCCATCTATTTGAAAATGCCAGGATTAGGAGAATTTTATGGTTATTGTTTCAAGAATCATACATGTTGAAATATAGTTGAGTTTGACGACTGAATGTCACAGGGCGTAAATTCTAGGAGGGGGGCGAAATTTGTTCCCCCCCTAGGAGCTCCTAGGGGGGGGGCAAAATATGAACTGTAAATTCAAAACATTTGGCTTCTTGAATATCAGGCATAAGCATGAGATACATTAAAGGTACACATACAGTCCAATTACCTTGCATGTACATACTGTATCTCTCCTTCAAACAAAACTAGCAGAATAAAAAACATTGTTTCTAAAAAATCAAATTTTATATGCTGTTATGTTAGTAATAATTAGAATTTAAACTAAAGATAGTAAAAGACATTTTTGAAAATGAAAAACCTGACTTAAACTTAATTCTATGAGATAAAAAAGGAAAAAGGTCCAGAAAATAATTATGACTTGCAAAGGTTTCTGTTTTGAAAAAAAAGTAGGAGTACAATTGTACTATCTGTCATAATGCTCTTCGTTCATTTATATGTTTGCATGACTGGCCAAACTGCTGAATTAAATGGGCTGAATTTTAGTAAGGAAACTCATGGATGGATACCCTTGGGGATGACATAAGCTAAATAAATTTTAATTAGATTTTTTAAATTCCACGGGCAACTCCTGGCACTTCAGCTAGTTTGTAATAAAAAGAAAGATTACAAAACAGCGGTGCAATGAATAAAGTAAATTAAATCCAAATAAAAAAATTTTAAAAAAATTGGTCTTTTACTACCTTTAAACTCAAGCTAAGCCAAACATTAGGATAAATGCATCCATTGTGCATTCTAAATAGATTTTTCATTCGGACTTCTGGTCCAAGCTAATACAATCTTCTTAGTGCACTGAATGAACAGCAAACTATTTTTTTATGTTCTTCACTCTCGAGTTTAAGATTTGAAAAGTGTGAAAGCTCTGAGTTCTAGAGTGCCCCCCCCCCCTGTATACGCCCTTGTACAAATGAATTAATGATCTACTGTCGTGCTTCATGGGACACCCTGTGTCAAAATGTTTTAAAGTTTAAACTGTATTTTTACTGACATTACATAAAAACAAGATTTTATCAATCTCTTAAAGAAAACCAATATTGGCATATTATGAAAACCATGTTATAAACTATAAACATAATTGTTGAACATATAAACCTGTATCTCACTGGGTAATGTACACGCAACATCCCCCCTACTGAACTTCTGACCTACAAACTTTCCGACCTGCTGCAATATTGGACCTACGCCAACTGTTTATTTTTGTATTATTGGAGTGTTAGGTTAGGTTAAGACAACTTCTGGGCTGAGCGCTGCTGCTAGGACAGGCTAGGGGGCCAAGCGCCGCAGCTAGGACAGGCAAGAGGGCCAAGCGCTGCGGCC